GACTGTTAGACGATAAATAATCGTGTTATGTAACGATACTGAGACGGTACGGGTGAACGTACATACATGATTTAAAAAAAAAAAAAAAATCTGTACATGATTCATCTTAACCGGTCGTGAAGGCTTGGCCAGACAACAGCTGTAATTGGCCGACGGGTTTTCCCGCGTGTCGAGATCATCGCATTCGACCCCAAAATCACCGATGCTATGCAGCAACGCAAGTACTCACGGAGACCATTACGGTTTCCTAGGCCGATATAGTGAATTGCCAAGACCCTGGCGGTGTAAGATATAGAGACGTATTCCATTTCTAAACATTTCGAGTATATCGTCTCGGCTTTAGTTCAAAGGCCAAAGTAGTGATTTTTTAAAACCCAATAACTGGTTGGCGACCGTGGAATCCGAGATTCAAGTTTACCGAGTATATAAAACCTCAAATGTACCACCTTCGTTTGTATCACACTATGTAGTACCAATAAGAAAAGGTAAAAATGTTGCAGTATAAACATACAACTCGTCGCATTTATAGATTACTAAACTTAGGGATGACGCGTTTTTTTGCAACATGTATGTCATAATAATAATATAATATATCCATTTAAATAGAAAGGAAAATGCAAAGGTTTGCATTATTGTTATATGTGTATCTCTATAACGTTGATGAATAAGATATTCAATCGAATTTTAAATTAAATACACGCACGTGCTATCCGAATTGAAAATTGAATACATAATAAATAATAACATTAGTATTTTAATTGAAATAGATATTTGTTATAAGGCATTGGTTACAGCTACATACATAACGTAGTAATACATTAAATATTTTTTTAAGTAGCCATTATTAAAAAAAATGTTGACCTCAACCATCCACGAAGTAGTATGAGAAATAAATTATTATTTCAAATTATAATAATTCGATTGTAAACTAATATTATATTCTATCTGAATAATACCAAATTACAAATTATTTAATAGTGTATAAAAAAATAAATGTTCTACCTATTAATTACTCTATATGTCTATATATAATAATTACTACAATTGTATTTTAAACTATAATTGTTGTAAATTAATTCAATATCCTCACCTTCACTCGGAAATGATAGAAATATTATTAGTTTGTTTTTTTCAGAGCATCGCGACACCGTAAACATTTGGTATGTATTTGTTTTGTTATTAAAGCTAAGAAGGACAACTTTAAGCAAACGTGTTTGTTTATTTTAGGAGTAACCATTAATTTTGAATTTCAAATAAAATGTTGGTTTATAAAACAAATAATGTAGACCGAACCTTGAAATCTTTAGCTATAGAATTTAATATTGAAAATTTGAAGTTCAGAAGGCAATTTAAAGACTTGCGCTGACTATATAATTTGTTAAATTCCAAAATTGACTTTCCGGAAATCATTTCTTTAATTTATTTAAAAGTTCCAAATAAAAAATTAAGATCTACCTCTACATTTTATGTTCCTATGTATTAATGTAATTATTGTCTTTTCGCACCGGTAATCCGAATGCTAACTTTAAGATATAAACTTAAAAATTTTGATTTTTTTTCGATTCACTTATGGATATGAGACATAGTTTAGAAAATAATTGTAAGTTATAGTTTATAATACCAAATAACGTTTTGTTTGTTTTTGTGCCTGTTACTACAATTACTGTATTTTAGAGTTAATTACTATGTACAATGTGTCTGTACTCCGTGTCCATTGGGCGTTTATTATATTAAATAAAACGTGTTGATTTTAGTATTTCTTCAATTCAGTATGATTAAAACAAATGTTTGCTACTCGAATATCCGAATCAGTTAGGTACTGCGGTATTTCAGGTGTTGGAGTTAAACTAAAGAATTGACAGTCTATACAAGTCTATATTTAGATGCATTTCCAATGCAAAAATATACAAGTAATTTTCATAATATCTGTTATACTATGTAGTCACACACATTTTTCAAACGACCCACACGCGTCATGTTACTTCGGTCTCTGATATTTCAAGTAGCATTTTCGACTAACGAGCATACGCGAACGCTTCCTGATGATACACCAACATTGAAACGGACACTCGGTGAATATTTATTGCAAATTATCGCGTCCCTATGTATAATCCCATGCACACATATGACAAGCGATTATGCCATCTGGTCCTGTCGTTTTGGGCTACACGGTAGGTAATCGATATGTGAAGCACACCGTATGACAATAATGTCACGTAAGGTCACCAATCTGATGGTACATTATATTGATTGACATTTGATACCGTGTGTTTGCCATTGAATCTGGCTTTCCGGGACCAAAGTTGTCGTTCCTATCTCTATCAGCTGAGACTGAACACAAACTCTAATAAAATATATATATCATATGACATGTATTTTTCATTACACGTGGCGAACAGCTGTCAAAGATGCTACATCTAACGTTATTTATGATTCAATGTGATTAATTAAATGCGAAAACAGTAATATTAATGTAAAATAGTCAAGGACTAAAACTCAAATTCTAGAATGAACAGCATTGACGACTACAAATGTGACGTCATTTCTATTATAAATCGTGAAAACTAAAAACTCATCTACAACAAACGATTAACGATATAGCTGCATAAAATCCAAACGAATTTAACATTTGTATACTTAATCCTTAAGATAATAGTATAAATATTTTTACTTATAATTATATATATTTATACAGTTTAATAGCTTGCAATTTAGACGTTTGCATTAAAACGGGTGCAAATATTTTAAACAATTTTCGGCATCTAAGTGAAGATTAATTTTATATAATATAATAAAAAAGAAAAAAACGAGTTGTATGATAATAAATATTATTTAATTATAGTAAATATAACAGATTTTTTTTTTTAAAGATCAATAGGTGTTTTACCGCCTCATATGTATGCGTCTGGATACATTATTAGATTAACTTGTAAGTAGTCCTACGAATTATCAATACTTAACACATTGACTGTCACGTGTATTATAAAGTGCGATATTATTATAAAAATATAATAATGTAAGTAATACAGGTATTAATATTACTATTGACTAAAATTGGACTTATCTTATGACTTATTGTTCGATAACTCCTATTATCAAATATATTATATGAACCTAATAAGCGATATTTCCATGAACTTTTAAGAAGGTGAATTATCCCGGTAAAATGTTATACGTGCCCTGAGGCGTGTTTTAATGTTTAGGTTCAAAGAATTAAGATGTAATTTAGTATTATATATACATATATACGTGGAGCTGTAAGCCACAGTGATATGCGTATTCAAGTACTTATGCAAGTACCCTATTAATCGCCTACAATACATATATCTATATATAATATATAACTTAACAATACGACTTTTAAGGGCCTCGTCCTTCAAGTGACATTTATTGGTTTGTTATTAAGTCAACGAAACTTTTCAACGTGAATTTTTTATACAATGAACACACACACACTAATGGTCTTTCATAATCTTATCCAATTAGACAAAATATAATATGTTAAATCGTTGTACTAAAGCACCTGTTATTATTGATAATTTATTAATATTTCTTTATTATTTTTTGTACACCAAATATAAAACACATCCAATAGCTAATAATTAATTTTTTAAAAATGATGCAAAGAACTGTACAGATAATAGTTTTATTTTTAAATTAAACAAACTACACTTGATTTTTATGAATAAAATATAATAATACAAATTTAATACTACTGCGTTGTAATATTGTTGAACGTAATCGATTTAATATATTCTTCAGAGATCTATTAATATTTTGTGGTATTTATCATACCTAAGAAACTATTATATTAATATTAAATTAATATAATAATTATATACTTATTTTATTATTATTATTATTTATTTTTAATGGAATTTATTGGGTAATATGATGGAATTAATTAATTTATATCTTCAATAAGTAAAAAATATTTTTTTAATTTAATTTTTTTGCGCTGTATAGAAATATGTTAATAAGAAATCTAGTTGCTGATAAACTATAAATAACACATATTTTATCATAATATTTACTGTGAGGACAATGAATAAAACTGTTTGTAATAATTGAATGACACACCTGATAAATAACAATTAGTTTCTTTCTATAGAAAAAAAATGTACTATCTATTATAAAACCTAAGAAGGTTACAGAGATAGGTATCGGATCTTGGTTAATTCTAATAATTGATTTAATATTATAATCAATCCCATCTTTTCGTTGTGAATTGTGATTAAACAATAACTATGCAATTCCGTTTCTTAATAGAATCTAACTGTTAATATTCAATTGTATAATGTATTCATGCGTTTTCCAGCCTAACCAACGTAGAGAATATTACAATAACCTTATAGTGGCTTATGTTTAAATATAGCACGCCTAAGGAATGAATAGTTGTAAATTTCTTATACTCAAGAAACAAAACGTAACCGAAAGACTATTCATAGCAGGTTTAGTTATTTATTATAAATATTAATAATGAACATAGTATTTGCCTACTTATTATATAAAAAATATATCAATCTATATTAAAGCTATTCTACTGTAGACCTCAATTTTTCAATAAATTTATTTTTAATAATTAAGTTTGAGCAAATATGTGTTTTGACTTTGATAAATTAACTAAGTTAAATAATAGATTAAAGGGATACTTAAATTGCGTTGATCATATGCATAGAAGCATTATACAAAAATATTTTAATGTGTTTATTATATTGAATATTAAATTATTTATTAGAAATTAGTTGTCCGGAAACTTAAAAATATATTCAAATTGTTTTGATTTTTTAAACATTTTACCATCGAAATATCAATTATTATGTTTTCTATGTTGTTTTGACTAAGAGCTTATGTTTTTGCTTTTTAAGTATCAAAATGTGTATGATTTTAATTGAATATTAATATCAGTTATGCTAACATATTAACCAGATTTTGGTCTATTTATGAGCCGGTAGTCGGTTTGAACACATAAGTAAACAGTAATTTTGATCAGTACTCACATTCATACGAAGTCCTAGGAACATTCTGGTGTTCGGGCACTTGTCCATATCCGGACTATCGCGGGCTTGGCCTTTTGGAACCCGGACGGCCGGTTGTTTCAATCTTAAATACGCAAGACAGTGTGTACACTACAGACAACAGAGAGTGTTTATAATAACAATCGCGAGTGTGTTGTTTGCGGACTGGTTTGTTCCGGCGTAAAGAACATAAACCTCCGGCAGACGGTCTTATATAGCGAAAGCCGAACCGGTCTCCTCCGGGAGACTTTAACGCTGTGGCAAAAACAACGCGGGCGGCAAACGCTATAGATACATGCAACAAAAAAATAATGTAATGGTAAAAACCGTATTGATATCTTGGACTACGACGGTCAAGGTCCTGATGTCGTGTTTGACCCCGGACGCAGATTTTTCCCCGCACTACACGGGGCAAAACTAGGCTGTTCCTGGTATAATAATTCTTTAAAATGTATTTTAATTATTCATTATTTAAAAAAACAAGTTGAAATTCACGTTAAGCGTTATCGCGATCCATAATCTGGATTTAAAAACGTTTCAAACAGCTGCTACGCAAAACGGTTTACAAGGATCAGATGATTCATTAGAGTAGAACATATTTTTTAATTTAATTTAAAATGTTTTAACATATCAATTTTATTACAATTTTTTTTTATTCTAGACTAAATAATCAATTTAACTAATATTTATATAAAAGACGTACAATGGCTTATATTATTACATTTATTTATTTACAGTGGTCTAAGAAATTTCTTTATTTGAGCAAGTTTCTTCGCAGAGAAAAAAATCTTAAAAGAGTCATGGGTTCAGGCGTATATTCAGCGTTTTCTTTTTTACGTGGGAGTGCTTTGTTCCATCTGTGCTTTAAAGTTTTCGCTGGAAGATTTTAATTTGGATTTTAATAAAATCAGATAACATCGAGATTCTATTGTCATTGTGACTTGGCTGCATTCTCAGTCTATATATATCTGGAGGAAGTAGACATTATCAAGTTATATTGGATATTGCAGCAACTGAGCATGCATACCTAATATTTAAAAATAATTTAATCAATAATTGTTTTTAGTAGTCAAATATATATGGTTAAGTAATATTTTTCTTAAATTTATTTATTTAAATCGAAATGGAATTTCCACTAAGGTTTCCCAATTAAGGACTATGTTTTTCTCTCACCTAAAAAACATCTCTATCAAAAGTGATGAATTTTAAGTCCTAAAATTTTAAACTATATATTGTTATACATAAAAATAATAGCTTGAAATTTTAACTTAAATTTAATTGTAATATATTTCAATATTTCAATTTTTAGTTTTAACTAATTACAATAATTAAAATCTTTTATTGTATAAAATATGTACAAATCTAGTTATAGACCTCCATAGAGCATAAAATAGTCCAAACAATTATTATTTTATATACCTAATAACAATTTTTTTGCCTTAACTAGAACACTTGATTTAGGTAAAGCAAAATAATACGTAACGTAATCAGTTTACTAAATATTAAATTACAAAAAAAAAAGAACTTTTCAAAACGGATAAATTAAATTAAGTTTACCGGTTATTAAGTGTAATATTCGTAAAACTATACTTATTACATACATAAACTATTCCGTTTAATACGAGGAAAAATATGTTGTTTTCCTTATCACAGCATCTCATCATTTCTGGGTATATATATCTTTTGAGTGTCTAAATAAAATCCAATAATTTGTTTAATATTGGTTATTAGCCTTTTAAGGTCTCATAAGACTAACGTAGACAACAGCTGAAACCATGACAAGCTATTTGCTAAGCAATTCTAAATACGGCAGTCAAAAGAGCAGTGCATTTAAAATTCATGTTCTCGCGATGTGTATATATAAATTTATACATATAGTATATGTATAATGTTATAACAGTAAAACATAAAGGAGGTTTCTGAATGTTGATTTTCAACCGGTGAGAATGTGTTTTATGATTTACCTAGCATCCGTGACCATTTTTTAAATTCGTAGTTTAGCTTTTGTTGGCAGGAACCTAACCGATATAAATACCTCAGGTTATAAAACAGGCTGTAATTGTTATAATTATTATTCGTAACGTATTATGTAAAATAAAAATGAATAATAATAATGCGAAGTTTTGCCCTATCTTATATGAAATAAATATATCATCAATAAAAAAAACAAGAGCGACAGCTATTTAAATTTAATTGGATACGCATAGTTATGTATTGAATTGATTAATAAAACATATGTTTTTACGTTTACCAATGTATGAGTGATACAAATTTTAAATTTGTAGACCGTTTAAATATTACATTTTAATAAAAAAAATACTATTAGGGCATTCCGTTTAGTATCAATTTTTATATAATTTTACTATCTGTTTCAACAAAGATATTTAAGAAAACAATTTTATGCTTTGTATAGATAACAACTACATCTTTCTTTAATGTAGTTTTCAGGTCTTTAATCTAAAAATTCCAGAAAAAGATTCAATAAATTAATGTTTAGTTTTTACTACGTATTCCGCAGTTATCAGTAAGAAATTTAAAAAAATCTGTTTTAAATTTACTTTACCTAACACTGAAATAAGATTTGTTATGTTCTATAATAAACGGTTTAAGTATATAATGTTTAGCTGTGTTCTTCATTATCTCTCAGTTGTTTTAATTAATTAGACCACTAAAAATGGAACACGTAAGAATAAAGAACGGAAAAGTGCAAAACGAAAGACCCTATTTTAAATAACAGAAAATAAGTTTTAACCAATTGAACAGTAGCTTATAATAATATATACATATAACCATACCATATTATAGTATTTAAAAAGTTTATGATCTCTGATTCTAAGTTTTTCCTAGGGTTCCCTCAAGTGTCATTTGTCTTTGATGAGAGTATTTTGGACATTCCATGTCAGAAGGAATTTGTAAACGGTCCTTTGTGGAATTGGTGTTCAGTTCCTTAAGTAAATAGGGGCCCTGGAGATTCTTTTTGGCATTTTTGATACAATTAATGCATAAGATATAGTGAACCAATTTTCTTTAGAGGAAAATCGAAGTGAGATTTGGAGTAAAAAAGATTAACTCGAATTTCTTGGCTTTTTCTAAAAGAGATTAATGAATTAATTAATCATCCTAATGATGAATTTCATTTTAATGTGTTCTACGTTTAGAAGTTTTTTGTAGTACTTATTATTTAATATTCTATGGTTATAATTGGGTAACAATATGTTATACATATAAATTGAATAGGTATGACACTGTTTTTTATACAACCGTAAATATCTAGTGTTTGACATTGGGAATGACTGGTGTTACTGACGCGCTGTAATATTTTCAGCAGAACGGGTAAGCTTATCTATAATTATAGCACATTAATCTTATATTTAGATTTAGCATCTATCTCAGCTGGATCAATTTATTAATTAATCAATTAATGTAAATAAGCAGGTATATCCAAAGATTATGATATTGAAAATAATCAAATCACAGTTAAAATCAATAAACCAATATTCATAATATAACTTTTTGATATCTACTAGCTTTATAAATATCACTATTCAACATGATTCTGGTTACACAATCAGTTTTTTTTTTGTTGGATATACTCACAATTGGCATTTCTTAATAATTAATAGTTGTATGTTTTAATATTAGTTGTAGAGCGCATTTAATGAATTTTAAACACATGGAGAATAAAACGATGAAATTCATGCATAATTATTACCTTCGATGCGGAGCTGAGAGAATATTGTATTCACAATGATGGATTTTAATTTTTTATTTTTGTATCTGGACCCACATAACTTTTATAACTTTTAAATTAATTAATAATTTCTTCGTGTAGCAACTTTATAGATCAGAAATTTCAAGTTTACCCATTTCTCTTTAAAGTCTAAAAAATCACCGAAACAAATTTACACGTGTTTCAACTTAAACTTACGGCATTCCGTGTTTTTTTTTTAAATAATGGAATCAGTTCCAAATTTGTATGGAATATATTTTAGACGGCACTACCGATAAACGTTATATAACGTTAACGTTACAACAAACCAAAAAAATATCATAGACCCTTCCCCTAGTAGAGGTTGAAACTTTATCTTCACTACATTTTTTTAGGTAAAGTTGAAAATTGTCAGAAGATAGATCTAGTGTAGGACTGTAATATGTACAATTTTACATTACATTTATAATAATTGTTAAATGGATAACTACATATTTGTTTTTTTTATAGCCTACAAGGTATTGTGACGATTAAAGATATTTGAATGGTACCGCTACGTACAAGATGATTTAAAACGCGTATAAAATTTAGACCACCCACAAAGTATATCTTGTCTTTGGCCGTAGTCCTAATTATATGGCTTCAAAGTTCAAGTGCTTCAGGCTCCGATGTTTTCGAAATTTTTCAGTAATTGTATGGCAGGTGGGCTGTGTTGTAGCTCCTGGCTTTTTTCATATTTCCGGGTAATGAGTTTATCTACAATTTTCGACTAATGGTGTTGTTCCTTTAGATTCATTGTTAGTAATTAATGCTAATACACTTAGCCGTCCGACTAATTAATGGAGTTTACGCAATTTTTCTTTTTTTTTCAATTTCTTCTGGCAGAACTAATCTTTCAAACGATAACTTGGGCAAAATTGTATGCAAGAAAATTTTGTTTATATAGTTTTAGCTTTTTTTTCATTGAAGGGTGAGCCCTTGGAGGGCTCATACACTCAGGCCAATAGGTCCATTGTGTGCATCCTTTTACTGAAGTCCTATTTTTATAGTCTTATATCATCTATGTCCTACAAAGTCTAACAGCTTTTCGTGTTGAAGTATCCTGAATCACTCGTGAATTTCACTATCTTTTTTGTTCTAATATCTTTGATTTTATCCTTTCCAAGAAAATGTTTTCTAAAGATAAATTGCCTTGAGGTAGCTATGGAGTCATCGTCACAAAAGATATGGTTTCTTATCTCCTCTTTTCCATACTAGATCCTTTTGCAAAATATTAACATACTTGATGTTAATTTTTGATTGTCTGGGTACAACTAGGTATCTCCATATATTTATTTGTTATTCTTTGCTTCATTTCTTTGGCAGTATCTTCTGAGCATCCTATGATAGACGTATCATTGGCTCTAGACCAGTACATAGTGTTATAGACAATTTATTAAAAAGTCAGCATTTTTGTTACCTGTACCACAGTAACCTGGTACCCATTTATT